CTCTGGTGCCTTTGACAGTCTCAGACCATTTTTCGAGGGCGGGACTAGCAATCTGTATTAATTTCCCCTCGAACAGGCTCCCCCTTTGACAATCTAGAGCAGTGTTTCTCAAACCTTTTCATACCACCAGGACCACTTAACCAATAAAAAAAACTCACGGACCACCTAACTCCACAAATATCCAAAAACAATAGGCCTGCTTACCCATTCCAATATTATATAACAAATTACAGCCTAATAATGACAGCTTAATGACAGCTTAACCTTCTCTATATCGCCTCGTTCACACATTAAATCAACAATACAAATACAACTACAGATTGTATAAGCATTTAGTTCAAATGCGATTTAAAATCCTCTCAGGTTTTACTCCTGTTATTATGAAATGTAGACTACATTTATGACGAGTTTATGTCCGAGCCAACAGACTCACAGATTGTTGGCTACTGAGAGATATGCAAAATACACCGCATGTAGTACGACACAAACCTCCGCTGTGGATTTTCAAAACAAAATACAATAAAACTATGGTCGCAGGCCCAAGTTTAAATCTCTGAGGCCTGCATGGTCTGCCTACAAAACAAAAATAAAAAAACGTTTATGCAGCCCCAACAACAGCCTCTGATCATCAACAAACTTCATGCAATGCTTCATCAGATGCATATATTAGATAATAATCTCTATCTCACTCCTAACACATCTAAATCTACTTTCAGCATGGATACATGTTCATAAAATACATCCATTGTTTGTTCTATATGCTTCTTGAAATCCTAAAAAATACATAGTTTTTCAAGAACAGATTACAAATCGCCTGAAAATGGTACAAACAAGTGGCAAGATGTTTGACGAAGGTGTTGCGCTGGGCTATATCATGCAATCGAAACTTAAGCTCGCTCCATTGCGGAGATATTCCCGCGAGAGTGCGGAAAACTGAAATGAATTCACTAGCCCCACCCCCCCCACCCCCGTCGACAGGGGGTCGCCAGTCTCTGGCACTGTTATTTTGGGGGTCGCGGGCTGAAAAGTTTGGGAACCCCTGGTCTAGTGGTAGTAAATGTACAGTATATCCCAGAAGTTAGCATTTACTTCAGCCCTGGAGGAAATTGAAGTCTCCCCTGTGTTTCCAGAACACCATCTGGAAGCTGAAGCAGGAACAGTTAATTCAGGGTTTATGTTTCCCAGTTGCACACTCACTACAGAAAAAAACCAAACAAGCCGCCTCCTACATAAATGAACTGCCTAAACCATTTTTTGTTACATTAAGTTGGATTTTGTTCAGACAATTTACACATTTGTGCATTTGTACACTTAAACACATACACATGCAAGTGCATTTGTACACTTAAAGCAGTGTGAGCAAACTTTATTTGTTCAGGCAATAGTTGAGTGATAGGAACATTTATCAATATACAATATTAGTATATTTTTATAGTTAATTCTGGAAAATAAAAGCGCATAATCTACAAATCCACAACATTACATTCAGATTTCACTTGAATTAAAGCAGTTTAAATTGCAAAAAGTCTCTTTGTACTTTCATGATTTACTTTTTTTATATTGAGACTGAAATTAAACAAAAATATAAACCGAGGTTACAATTTTGTTGTACAGTGTTGAAGGAAAAATAAGTTGTTGGACAGATGACTTTATTTTTGTTCTTACTGCCATGTAAACTGCTTGTGTATTGGACAGATACATTCTGTACTCCAAATAACTGTCACTTCCTTGATGATTCATCTATTTTCAGGTCCTAAATATGAACAGATAAAGTATTAGTTACTAATCTTTATTATTGTGAAGTTGTTTTAGTTTTTCACCCCTTCATCATGATGTGTTCCCTCTTACCAGGGGATGGTGGGTGGGGTCGGTGGAGTAACTGGACGGATTGTACCAAGTCATGCGGTGGAGGGGTTCAAAGCCGGAGGAGAGAGTGTGACAGTCCCCGTCCTGAGGGGGAGGGGAACTACTGCGAGGGACTGGGGTCTGAAGTCATAGCTTGTAACACTAGCCACTGTCCAGGTATGTTTACAGAGTGTGTGCAGTATTGGTTTTGTTCACAATACAGCCGACACTTAGTCAGTGTTTTAAAAATATGTCATTTTGTGTATGTTTCCAGTGGCGCCATGCTCTAAGGTCCCAGGCACAGCGTTCAGTAGCTGTGGCCCCTCCTGCCCTCGCTCCTGTGATGACCTGGCTGTGAGTATACTAATCTTGACTCTAGCTGACTCATTACCACTGGTTAAACATCAAGTCATGTATACAAATGAAGAAATCTGGTCATAATAAGGTCATTTTCTGTCTTTCCCTCAGCACTGTGAGTGGCAATGTGAGCCTGGGTGCTACTGTACAGAGGGAAAGATCCTGTCTGCCAACGGTACAGTGTGTGTGGAGCGGGAAGACTGTCTCTGCATAGACCTCAACACTGGACACAGGCTGGAACCAGGGGAGACCACTGAAGCCCCTGATGGGTGTAACAACTGGTCAGAATAATACACAGAGAAGAACCACACACTATAAATGAAGAACACATTTATATTTCACATCGATTCATCCAGAACGAAGGGATAGTCAAATATTTATGTTGACATTTGAACTTGTTTCAGCACCTGTCAGGGTGGTCGGCTCAACTGCACCAGATACCCCTGTCCAGGTGAGTAAGACCAATACAGAAAACTGTCAATTAGGAGCAAGCCATAAATGTAGATTTTGCATCTCTGTGTGTTCCAAGTGTCAGGCGGCTGGTGTGAATGGTCAGAGTGGACTCCGTGCTCAAGGACCTGTGGGGCGGAGTCTGTGTCTCGCTACAGGAGCTGCAGCTGTCCTGAGCCCAACGCTGGGGGAGTGGTCTGCTCTGGAGAACAGGAAATACACAACGGGGTCGGAGTTCAAATCCAGAGGCAGCCATGCCCTGTCATCACCTTCTGCCCAGGTACCACTATTACTGGTTTCTAGTAACATACGTTAATTCAAGCTAATTGATCAAATGAACGATGCTTTGAATTAAAGTATTATTCAGCCCCAAGAAACCAAAATGTATGTGACTGCAGAACAAAAACATGTTCCAGATCCCATTGTCAGTAACTCCTGTAGTTGAAGTAAGTAGTGTAGTAAGGTTCTTCTCCATGATGATATTGACATAATAAGGTTTTTTTTCCTAGCTTTTATTCCTATTTCCTTCTTTATATCTCCTTAATTGTATCTCTTTCTTTTGTATCATCTTATGATCTTCTTCTTCTTGTTTACAGGAAGACAGATATAGTACTAAATCACTATAATACATACTTTGTTGTGTCTCTGTTTGTTCCCCTCTCTCTAGTCCACGGCTCGTGGAGCCCCTGGTCACCCTGGTCAGAGTGTGATGGATGCGCTGGGTCGTCCGCTCGCACCAGGGACTGCAACAGTCCTCCCGCCAAGTTCGGTGGGCTCCCCTGTCTTGGGGAGAGCAGGCAGAGACGTGGTTGCTATGACAACATTACCATCTGCTCTGGTCAGCATAATAAAGGACTCGTGTGTATATTGAGAAACACTGATGTACCGCCTCAATTTAGGGTACTGGATGGAAATGAGGATGATAAGGATGTGAAAAGATAAAAATGTGCATTTTTATAAAGGAAAGGGAAGATTAAGGATCTTTCCCTGCCCTCCCATTGAGAATTTGTTTTTGATCTAATGTGATTACTTTTCAGAGGTGGGAGAAGTACTCAGATCTTGTACTTGAGTAAAAGTAAGAATAAAATGAAACTCAAGTAAAAGTACAAAGATATTAGCATCAAAATATAAGTACCAAAAGTAAAAGTACTCACTCTGCAGATTGGTCCATTTAAGAATCATATATATGATATGTTTTATAATTATTGATCATTAAAGTGTTATCAAAGCTGGCAAAGGTGCAGCTAGTTTGAATGACTTTGTTTACTCCAGGTGTAACTAAAGTCTGATTTAAGAGTTGATTATATTTCACATTACTAATCCAAATCTGTAAAGTAACTAGAAAAGTACACTATTTACCTCTGAATTGTAGTTGAGTAGAAGTACAAAGTAGCATAAAGTGGAAATACTCAAGTAAAGTACAAGTATCTCAAAACTGTACTTGAGTAAATGTACTTAGTTACTTCCCACCTCTGCTAGTTTCAAGTTTGCTTTTACAATTTCACAAACTCTGAGAAAGCACAATTTAACCGTAAAACCCATCACTCCACTTGATGAGGTAATTCTCTTAAACCTGTTCTTTTTCCTGCGTTCTGCAGACTGTGGTGGCGGTCAGGAAGAATGGCCTTGTGGGAAGCCCTGTCCCCGCTCCTGTTCAGATCTTCATAGCGACACAGAGTGCTTGGACCCACCTGGGTGCACACAGACTTGCGGATGTCCGGGTGACATGCTCCTGCAGGATGGAGTGTGTATAGCCCGGGCGGAGTGTCGCTGCAAATACCACAACAGCTCAGATACAGGTTGGATCCACAATCTGTTTATTTAAAATGAGTTGAAGTCTTTATATTGTGTTTGCTAAGATTGTCTAATCAGATATTGTCTCTGATATAGGGATGACATTCAGCGGGCTATATTCCAGTAATGCATCATGGGAATGGCCTGGTGGATCTGGTTGGCAGTTTGCAGAACCAGGAGACAGCATCATCAGTGACTGCAACAACTGGTACTGCACAACTGAACAGCTCTTAAGATTGAAATGGTTTGAATATAGAATGTAATTCAGTTTAACGTATAATTGACTGTCATCTTTCATCTCAGTTCATGCGAGTATGGGGTGATGCAGTGTCAATCAGTCCCTGGCTGCTATGTTGACGGTGGCTGGAGCCAATGGGGGGCCTGGACTGAGTGCTCGCTGTCATGTGGAGGGGGGGTCAAGTTCAGGAGACGCCAGTGTAATAACCCCTCCCCTCAGAGCAGTGGGAGGGGCTGCCTGGGAGTCGCTGAACAGCAGAAAGACTGCAACACACACATCTGCACAGGTAGGCCTGTCTGATCAAATCACTTTGAACTGGAGTTTTGAACTCAGGCTGAACTTCAACTTAAACTGTATTTCTCTCAGCTTGGCGTCTAATAGAGGAGTGGATTTACATTACCCTTTAAATAAAATAACGTCCCTCTTGGAAATTTGAACAAAAATATGATAAAAAGATATTTAAAGAAAGATAAACAGTCTTCGGAATGAAGTTCAATACATTTTACACTCTTTCTTTATGAGTTCAAGTTCAAAGGTTTTATTTTCATATGCACATAAGCTACAGTGTAGAAATGGCAATGCAATTCTTCTGACCTGAGCTCCTCCAACAATACAACATGTATAATACAATACAAAAATATTGTAAGGAGTCTATATACATGTAAATAGAATATGATATGTACAAGAAAAGAATATGAAATTAAATAATGTACATTATGACAAAATTAAATACGGTTTATTGCGGTGATAACTATTTATATAAATGATGTGTTACATCTGAGTGTTTGCTCTCAGACTCGGTGGGCCCGTGGCTGCCCTGGTCTCGGTGGTCTGCGTGTTCGGTCAGCTGTGGTGGAGGACAGCAGGCCCGCTCTCGCCTCTGCAGCTCTCCCCCCTGCAGCGGGCTCAGGCGCCAGAGCAAGACCTGCAACACCCAGGTTTGCCTCGGTGAGTCCTGATTTGCTGTAGAATATCTGTCACTCTGGTATCAAAGTTTTAATGACTTTAGATCCGGTGTATCCTTTCTGAGTTTCGTTAATGTGTACATGTTATGTTGTTCAGAAGTGGGCTGCCCCCCTGGCAGGTTGTACAGAGAGTGTGAACGAGGGGAAGGCTGTCCGTTCAGCTGCGCTCACGTCAGCGGCAGGGAGGGATGCTACTCCGATGGCTGTGAGGAAGGCTGCCACTGCCCCCACCAGAGGTACCAACACCACGGTGTCTGCCTGCAGGTGGGTTCCCTGTCACCTGAGCAACTTAAGTATAAGTCATGAAATATCATGAAACGCTAACATTTGTTATGGCAACACGAAGGGATATAAAGGAAACATTTAACATATTTCCAGACAACATTTTAATTAAAATGTGTGTGTTTCAGGAGTGTCCCTGTCTGGTGGACAAGGACCTCCTGGCCTCTCTGCAGAGTGTTTCTGTCACACCTGTCTCCTCTCTGCTCCTCCATAACGTCACTGAGGGAGGGGAACTTCAGCCTGGGGACACACTGGTCCATGACTGCAGCACCTGGTGAGCAGGAAATGTTCTGAATATTTGCAGCTGTGCTATATTTAATCCATTTACACTTTGCCAACAATACATATTGTCCTCTTCTGCTGGACAATTACAGGGTTTACTGTATATTGGTTCTTAAATGTCTAATTAAACCTCCTAGTTTGAGGTCCTGTTTTATTATGAAAATGAGGCACCTGGGTTGAAATACAATTTAAAGGTCTCCTATTATACTATTTCTAGGCATATATTATAGGTCTCGGATATATAAAAAACATGTCTATGAAGTGTTTTTCTCAAAATACAAAACAGATCATGCATTTTAGACATCCCTCATATCCCTCTGTTTCAGCCCTGTTAGAGAAGTGCTGATTCTGGGTAAGTAGCTCGGAGTGTTAGCGATGCTTATTAATGCAAACAAAGACCATATTACTTCCAAAAGACGTCGTGCATTGTTTCTGATGGCGACGTTTCTGATAGGGCCGTGGGTGTAAAGCCAGCCCACATTTCCGATATCACGTAATATCGGCAGCAAATCTGGATCAGCTCCGTTGCACCCCTTTTTTTAGAGATCTGGGTACGGAGGAAAAGAGAGAGGGTTTTCTTTTCTGACACTTTGTGAGTTCCCTTACACACCGGGAGAGTAACAAAGTAACGCGTTACTGTAATAATATTACTTTCGTCGGTAACGGAGTAGTGTAACGCGTTACTTTTATAATTCAGTAATCACACTACAGTTACTAACATTGCCCCGACACACGTTACTTCGTTACTTTTATAAAATAATCACACTCACTGACAGACAAGAGGGGTTTCCGCCGCAGGTTTGTATACATGTAGGCCTACGTAATCTGCGCGATTTGCGCGTCCACATCTCCACGTGCAGTGCTGCATAAACATGGCTGAGTCTTTTCATCTGTAAACTTCCTCAACGGGGCCGCTCGCTCTCTTTTCTTGATTGCCCTCTCACGGATGAACAGTTCAATGTCCCGCTTCATTGTAGGAATTCTGCCATGTCTCTACCACTTTAGTTTGACCATATCTGTTAATTAGTGTCTTTACGTTTCACAGACTGTTAGCTTGTTGTGGTAGGCTGGTAGCCTATTTTATTAAAGAGCATATCAAAAGAAAGACTTGTGTTATGTCTTCCTTAATGCAATAGTAATTGGGGGTG